TTGAGCTCAAGTACTTAAGCTTTACATCCCTTATTTTTCCAGTCCTGCGTTGCAGCCTCTCACATTGGACATACCATTTCTCTTGGCTCTGTAGTGGGCCGTGGTACCTAGTGCTTTGAGCTCTGGGTTTGCCTTGCCTGGCAACCGAATGTTAAGTCCAGTCAACATCAGCACTATTATGATGGCCTGTAACGACTAGGGTCGTTCCATGGGCTTTACCTGCAGGTTCCTCAGGCCTGTCATCACCTTTAGGAACTGAGTTCTACATGAGTCTCATTTTGCAGAGTCACTTGGCAGATCTCACTAGGTACCTGTGAATGACAAGGTCAAGGCTAGCCCCAGGTTCTCCCGACTCCAAAGACTCTGATCAGTCAAGTGCACCACATTTCCTCTTGGACACTGCTAGTGACTGTCAAACCACTGCTGACTATCATCCTGATCAACTTCCTTTTTTAGTGGTTAATATCAGCAAGCTGATACTTCCTTTTTCACCGGGTGAGCTCATTTTTTCACAGTAATCTGGGGTTAATCCTCTTTCTGTGATGGTAAAATATGCATAATGTTGCAGAAAACCTGCTGCATTTGGGCATACAGCACAAGGGCCTTAAGCACGCTCCTGCTCATGCTCATGGTTGTCACCCTCACAGCTCCCATCTCCAGAACCGCTCATCTCCCCTCCCTCCCCCCATCTCTACATCCATTAAGCACTCCTTGCTTCCCCTCCCCCAGCCCCTGGCAACCACCATTCTACTTTCTGTCTCTATGAATTTGTCTACTCAAGGGACCACATATAAATAGAATCAGACAGTATGTGTCTTTTTGTGCCTGGCTTATTTCACTTAGCACGTCGTCTTCAAGGTTCATCCATGTTGTAGTGGGGTTAATCCTTTTGACATGTGAATGATTACAAACTAATTTATCTTTTTAACTCTCATTTTCACTTAGCAGGACACACCTCTAGAAAGGATTGATAGCAACAAAAACTCCCCCAATTAGGACATGAGCCTGGCCCTCCCTGATTCCTTGGCAGAGCCTGAGGCTGAACTGCACTGCACAGGGCAGAGACAGATGGGTGTCTCTGAACAAATACAGGGCTGGGGAACAATCCAGCACCAGCAGCTGCATCAGCAAGGTGCCTTTCTCCAGAGCTTACCAGTGTGTCAGCACAGAGCTCCTCTAAAAGTGAGGCCCAGAGGCGCCTTTGCAGGAGAGCCACCTTGACACCCAGCTAATGCTCTGTTACAGGGAACCTGGACAGCTGGGCGAGTCCCCACATGTCTGAGTGCTTGTTGCCGTCCCCTGTGACCTTCAGCAGAGCTTTTACCTCTGGATCTCAGCTGCTTCATTTTCCGAGCAAAAAAGCAAGATTAGCATCGTTTAGGAAACCAATTCTGAGACGTGATTTTTTTTTTTATTATGTTTAAATCTGATATCTCACAAATCTCAGTTTTTCTTTCATTCATGGATTTTTCTTTTTGCCTTTTCTTGGGCTATTTGACTTAATGTCTTTATTTAGTCCAACCACTTTCTAAAAGAATAATTATTTGAAAAAGGAGCCCTAAGTAATTACCTGTAATGGAAAAAGCAGTGCCATTAATAGAAGATAGCTCAAACACAAATATAGCAGAAACTAAACAGAATTATTAAGTCTAGCTTGATGTTGATTGCTGGTGAAATCTGTGAGCCCAAAGCCTGCTGTCTTTGAGGTGCTGAAGATCCACTGTGGGCCATCGGAGACTTTCTCCTTGACTCGATTCGAAGGACTGATAGAGAGTCCAGAATGTATAGAATTCTTCATTTGTGATTCAGTTACTTAATTCTGTGACTGGCACCTAAAACCTTCTCTGTTTCTTCACATTTGAGAGTCCCTGGTGTTGGGATAAACTGTTTCAATCAGCACACAATATACTACCTGCATTAAAAATGGGAGGCAAATATTTATTTAGTTCCAATTTGTGCCAATCACTGTTCTAAGCATTTTATGTACTTTTGATTCTTTAATCTTCGGCATGACACCATAGTGGTAGAAACTCTTCCTACTCCTGTTTTACAGATGAGGAAACTGAGGCTTATGAGGTGTTCTATAACCAGTGGCATCTACCTTCTTACCAATAGTTGATTTAAGCTCCATGTGGATGAAATCTTCAAGCTAAAGCCCAAGTTTGAATGGCTGAGAGTCTGAGAACTCTGTGTGTGTTGATTAATATTGCTTTTCCATTCAAGTGCCAAGAACATGGGCTAATCTAGATTTCTATTAATCTTGTGTCCACAGCAAGGACAGCTTTACAGGGAGAGGCTGATAAGCATCAGCCTGTGAGAATGGGAGTGGGCTGTAACATAAACACACTTCTCCAGAATGACTGCACAGCAAGCAAGGATGCCCAGCCCCGATGAAAACTCCTGGTGTGAGCAGATGCGCACAGCAGGGCTCTCACACATGGGTGTGCGTGGAAGCTCTGACGTGCCCCAGATGGCGTAGACACTGCTGGGAATGTGTTGTCATGTGCTGTGGTGGAGCTATACCATAGCTGCAGCCCGAGGGAGGCTAAAGCTTGGGGTCTTCTTAGGATCTGCAGAGCTGCAGTCATTCCGTTCTTCCGATTGACAGGGCACACTTTATAAAGCTTCCCACCAACTTCTGCAAGCGAGCCAGGGGGCACTTGATAAGGAAGTGGAGTGCAGGGCATTTAGGTGCAATCTGAGCTCTGAGGATGTGCATTCTGAGGGCGGTGGTACATCAGCTGCTTCCAGTGACATTCCTTCATTCAAGGATGACTTTTACAAAATAGGCTTATTCTGGGGGCCTCACTCAACACAGAGCCCCAGGGCGTCCAGGTTGAGCTGTGAAACACCCAGCCTATTCAGAAGCTGCAAATGGAAATCAGGTTGGGGGGATGGCAGAACCCACAGGGGCTCCGTTTGCAAGGCTGGACGGACTGGAGCAAAACATTTGGATTTACCCAAGAGTGGTGTGGCATGTGGTTTGAAACTTGAGAGATGCACCTCTGGTTGCTGCTTACTAGTTAACAAATCCTCCATGAATAACTTCATCTCCCTAAACTTGTTTTTGCATCTGTTAAATGGGTTCTTTAATAAATTGTGGTAATATCCATAACCTAAACTTGACCATTTTTGAGCGTTCTTAGATGTAAAGTTCAGGGATATGAAGTATATCCATGTTGTTATATAAATACAGGTTTTGGTAGGATGAGAGGAGAAAATGCAACAGTGCTGATAATTGGAATTTGTTCAATAAGTGATAATAACGCTGACTTCTATTACCATTATTTTGCACTATCTGTTAGTATATTGTGCTTTTCAAAATATAACGCCTATTGTAGTGACAAGTTGATCCTTGGCTGGCAGCAGGTGCTAATCAGGGGATGATAAAAAGATGAGGGGAAGCTGTGGAACCTGCCAACTGCCCAGGGAAACTTAGAGTCTGGTAGGGAAGGCAAATGTGTATGTATAGACACATGCATATGTGTGTATACATAGTGTGTACACATAGTGTGTACAGATGTGTATGTGTTTGTAAATGTGTACATACACTGTATACATACACTTGTAGAACTGTTGCTCTAAAGGTAATAAATAAAATGCTTCAGGAAACCAAAGAACAAAATGGTTCCAAGGAGTGTGACATACAGCAGAGGCAGGGCTTTGTAAAATATTTGCACAAAACTTGCAGGTTATGAAACACTTTGACATTCATGGTCTTATCTTGATTGATTTTCTTAAATTATTCTCACAATAATCTTGTGAGCTAGAACAGGGTAGGCATCATGAAATTCTCATCTTCTGGTGGGTAAACTGAGGCTCAGAGTTGTCGAGTGTCAATGTAAACATGAGTTCAATGTTCACGAATTGCCAGTGGCAGAATTTAGGCTGAAATATGACAACTCAAAACCCTATGGTCTGTGCATTCCATCTGTGTCACACCCAGACAAGATGCAGTCCTGATCAGAGCTGGGTGAACAGAAACGTGGTGGTGTCAGCTGTACGGGTCAGGATTTTCCACAGTATGATGTGCACACCATGTGGGTACAGTGTGATTTTGAATAGGCCATAGAGGGACAATTTTTAAATTGATAGACAATAGCCTGTCAATCTGAGGTTTTACTTCCCATGATTTTAATTACCCATGGTGAACCACAGTCCAAATATATTACTTGGAAAATAAACAATTCATATGCTTTAAATTATGTCCCATTCTGAGTAGCATAATGAAATCTTGGGCCCTCCAGGTCCATATCATCTGGGCAGTGAATCATCTCTTTGTCCAGTGCATCCACACTGTATATGCTGCCCACCCGTTTCATTTATCAGTCACTTACTAGCCGTCTCATTTATCAGATTGACCATTGAGGTATTATAAGGCTTGTGTTCTAGTGACCCTTATTTTACTTAATAATGACACTAGCGCATAAGAATGTGATGCTGGCAATTAATTTTATTACACTATATTGTTATGATTATTCTGTTTTATTATTAGATGTTATTAATCTCTTACTGTGCTTAATTTGTCAATTAAACTTTATCATAGGAATGTATGTATAGAAAAGAACATACAATGTGTAGGATTCAGTACTATCCAAGGTTTCAGGCATCCAATGGGGGTCTTGAAATACATTCTCCATATTAAAGGGTGGGGCCTACTGTACCCTCTAATGTTCATCAGAAACATCAGGTTGGTGATTATGTGGAAGTTATTTCTCAGGGTTAAGTCTAAGCTAAAGTTGAAAAGAGAGTCCATAGAAAAAGCAATTTAAAGTAACAGAGTATGCAGTCCGCAGATATGGCAGAACTGGGAATGGCTGTTATTGACTCAGTGGGGAAATGCGTGGCCCAGTTGTGTCCAGTGGTCCTTTGACGAAGACTCAGAACTGGAGAGAAAATGGTGACCCAAGGCCCCATCTGCTCCATGTCCTATGAACTGACTTACTGTAGACACTACCAATTTAACCATAACAAGTCTTGGGTCTTGTTTCTCTTTGTAGATTGCTGACTTTGGCCTTTCCAACCTGTACCAGAAGGACAAGTTCTTGCAAACATTTTGTGGGAGCCCCCTCTATGCATCCCCTGAAATTGTCAATGGGAGGCCTTACCGGGGGCCAGAGGTGAGAAGGTTGCCTAGTGTATATGGGGTTTGAGGGGAGAAGAGGGAGGAAGGGCAAGAACTAGATCTGGAAAATTCTTAAAAAAAAATAAAAAGGAAGCAAGGAAAACCTGTGAGTAGACTATAATCATAAAAGCAATAATATACACACCTGAGAGAAAATTTGGAAAACCTAGAAAAGTCAAAGAGAGAAAATAAAGTCACCTACATTCCCTGATCAAGAAACAACCACTTAATATTTTTGTGACTCTTCTAGTCTTTTCCCAGGTAGATCTCTGCATTTCAAAAATAATTGAGATCACCTAAACATGATTGAGGTCAAGTTAATAGAGGGCAAGATATCCATACTGTGATACACAAGCATATGTATCTCTTGCCTTTTTCACTTAAAATTATATTGTAACAGCTTCCAAATTCATTATTATTAAAAATATGGCCTGTAATTACCACATAATGTCTTATTATGTGACTATACTGTATTTAATAATGTTCCTGAATTTGGACATTTAACTTTCCCTTATTACATCACAAACAAATAGAACAAGCAAAGATGAAATCTACTGACTCTTGAGTTAATATCTTTTTGCACATATTTTTGACAGCACACACATTTAATTAAGGAAATACATTCAATTTGCATCTCCTGTTTCATGAGAAATGTATTTCTTTGCAAGCTGAAAGCTTTCAGAGCCACGTAAGATACGTACATATGAAAACGTTATTTTGAGAACGGGTGAATTGTTAGTGATTATTCTCTTTTAAGAAGATGGCTGTCTTTACAGAGCGGCCCATCTACTCATTGTCCTTTAAGTAGCAGCTGCTCAGTGTGTGGAAATGTTTTCTTCCAAATATTTATCTGTTTGAAAGTGTTTGGGGGCAGGGTTGGAGTGAAGAGAAGTCTGCCAAGAGCCTCTACCAATTAAAGTGAGAGAAAGTCTTTTAAAAATAAGAATATAAGGGAAGAGCATAAGATTTCATTTATGAACTTGCCCAAACTCAACGTTGTAAATTTATCACAGATAATGAATACTTCTTTGGTCTTCGATGGTTTCTGTCTGAGGTTACAAGCTGACAGCCTATGGTCTGGCCACCAAGTACGCTTTATTTGGCCACATCATCTTTATTAAAACAAATGAATAAACATTGAATAATTGAGAGATTTCACAGAAAATCCTGGTTTCTGACTTCTCTGTAAAAACCAAAGGCTCCAGCAGTGCTGAGCCCATATTTCTGCATGGTACTAGTTAGCCAAGGAGAGGTTGCCTGCCCAAGATGGATGAATGCACCGTGCAGTTTGTTTCTGTCCCTAACATTCCACATTGTACCCCAAGTTCTTTCCTATTTTGTTCATGTTTTTTGTCTGCCTGGTTCTTACAAGATTTAAGTTTGCAACCTATGATCCATTTGAAGAAGGTGAAGCAAGGAACTGATTCCTGCATTGGGAATGAGAGCCCAGCATCCTAAGTTTTCTCTATCCCTTGGAGGGGGCCTCTGGAGAAGCCACTTAGCAGCCTTTTGCTTCAGTGTTCTCATCTGTCAAATGGAGCTGAAAATAATCCAGGCCCTGCCTGCTTCATAAAATTGCAGTGAGGAACAAAGAAGATAATCTACTTAGAAAGTTCTTAAATAGGCAGGCCCCAGCTGCACTGCTATCAGTTGTCAGGCTGTGGTGGGAACCTGTCTGCCAGGTGCTAAATTCAGTTCCTGGGGGCGTTGGGGGTGGCTGCTCACACACTGTGATGCCAACAGTTTGGAAGGAATCCCAGGAGTCTGCTTCCCAGGTCCCATGTGTCTTGTCTCTGTGCTCCAGGTGGACAGCTGGGCCTTGGGCGTGTTGCTTTACACTCTCGTTTATGGAACAATGCCCTTCGATGGTTTCGATCACAAAAACCTCATTCGGCAGATCAGCAGTGGAGAGTACCGGGAGCCCACGCAGCCCTCAGGTGCGTGTCTGGGGAGGGTCAGGGTGAGGGGAGAGTGGTTGGCTTACCTGTTCCAGATCACGTGCTCTGCTTTGTATGTCTATAAGGAATCTACTGCTTTTCTGCATTTATCTTTCCAGAAAAGACCACCTTGGAAAAGCTGGCTTCTTGGGCTGCTTTATCCAAATCTTCCTAGGTGAAATTTTCATAGCAGATGTTGTACCTGGCAGCCTGGGAGTCCTGTTTGCTCGCTGTGCTAATGTGGGCCAGTTGGTTAGCCTCTTTGGATTCAGGTTCTCTATTATAAATTAAAAATTTGGAAAGGGTATTATATGAAGTTCCATCCAGTTCTTGTAGACAAATAACCCCTCCTTCCTACACTGAAGTGCCATGAGAGTGGCAATGCTCTGTCCTTTCCATTTCTGTGCCCTGATCAAGGGCACTGTTTCATTTTCACTGCGTAACGGCTATCCTATTCCCCCCAAACTCATTGGTTTAAACTACCACCACATAATCATCTCTCTTAATTGTCTGGGTTGGGGAGCACTCTTTTGGCCTTGCCTGGGGTTTCTTCTGCACTTGCAGCCAGCTGGTAGTTGGGGCTGCTTCTGGGACTGAGTGTCATACATCTCAGTAGTTGACCATGTATGCTTAATCTCTTTGAGGTTCCGCCCCACTGCCTGTTCTTTCTAGGAAGAGCCTGGACTTCTTAGATGGCATCTCAGTGCTCTGAAAAGGAGGGAGAGGCTGTCAGATGTTCTTATTGACTGTGCTTGGGAGCTGGGTACAGTTGCTTCTGGCATGTTCTATTGGTCAAAGCAAACAAGGTCACAGCTCCATCTCTTCATGACAGAACATCGTGCACGTGCAGCAAGAGTGTGTGCAGGTGGCCACCTTGGAATGTGGTTAATCCAGGCATTCCATTTATATACATAGCATATATATGTACACATCCTCCCCATAGATATACATGCACACAGAGTTGACTCTTACTGTTTTCAGTAATTATGTTGTATAAAGTTGCTGTAAACATTGAATTAGTGAATACTGAATCATTGCTTCTTGGGAAAATACAGGGTTAGATTCCTGTGAGCCTATGATCACAATATTTATGTCTATCAATCAATACTCAAGCTTTTTTGTATGTTTATACTTAAAGACACCTTGTATATATACAGTATTTATTCATTCACATCAAAGTGGGTTGTCAACAGCTGTAAAACTCATGCCCAAATGAAAAATGAAGTTTATATAACATATAACATTTTCTCCATAGGGAGAACACTTAGGAACACTAGACAACACTTAGAGCGTGTGTTTGGGGCATTAAAAATAGCAGAATTACAGCACAAAGTGCTAGAATGCGAAAAACATAGCACTAAGACAGAGAAAGGGACACTGGTTTACCATCTGAGAGCTGAAACCAGGCTGCCAGTACACATAGGCTTTGGAGACAATCAAGCTTTTCGCTGCTCTGGGCATGTGCAAAGATGCTTGCAAAAGAACTGCAAATATTGGTTTTTGGATTACAAGTAAATTTTAGTAAGTCAGTTACAAATACAAAATCCATGGATAATGAGGACTGACTACTGTATATGTATATAGACACACTATCTATCTATCTATCTATCATCTGTCTGTCTACATAGAGAGAGATGCATATGTCTATCTATAGATTGTTTTTTTCAATAAGCCAAGCTGATCTTTTCAGAAATTTTCAGGGTGACTTCTGTGGTGGTTGTATTTGCCTCACAAGCTAACTGGTGCCAGTGAAATTCTTGGCACATTGTAGGGTTCAGAAAACACTTATTGAATGACTGAACGATCATCCTGTTAATTTTTAGGGGTGCAGCTCACCTCAGTCCCCATTGTTGGGCTGTTGCCAGCTACTCATCAGCCTTCCTAAGTGGTTGAGGGGAAGTGGCAACTTCCCAGGATATACTTCAACCCCAACTGGGTAAAGACAGTTTGACCCTAAAACTCAGTTTATCAGCTATGAGAGTGGCTTTGGTCTTGTGGCCTTTGACATCCTCTGGGCCTTTCCCCTAAATCTCCGGCAGCAGAAATGTGCAAGGGATATGCTTCCAGATGGACTGTAGACACCCACAGTACAGATCAGCTTTCTGATCTGACAGCTCCACAGATACCAATGTGGCTTATGTCAGACAAGGAAAGAGGTGAGCTCCTGGTGTGGCTTTCAGAATCTGGCTAAGACCTTGGGGTGAGGCTAGCTTTGGGGACAGCTGCTCTCCCTGGCAGGTGTGTCAGGTAAGCACCATGCCTGGCACAGGTGAGCTCCTCTCCTTACTTTGACTGTGAGCTCTGTGGTAAGAACCTACTTTTAGAGGAATACAGTAAGCCATGGTGCTCAACACCTGTTTTCTGTTTTGGTAAAATGATATCCGTGAAAGGTATAGTGAGGTCAAGTGTGAATTCTTTCCCAATTACCTGGCCTTTCGTGCTTTATGAAGATCTGGGGTAGTGGAAAGGCCATTTGTTGACTCGTGGAAAAGCAGACCAGGATGTGACTGCTCACTGGCCTGTAATTCTGAGCCTTGGTTATGTTTTTGATGTCCAATCTGAAGGAGTTTGATTTCCAGCTCCATAGTGAGACTGGAGCAGGACTCCAAATGGATTTTTCCCTAAGTGAGCATGTCTGTAGCCATTTGTGGAGTCACTCCTGCCTTAAAGCCTAAAGCTGCTATGCAGAGCATGACTCTTTCTGTCTTGTCCCTTAGATGCTCGAGGCCTCATTCGGTGGATGCTGATGGTGAACCCTGATCGCCGGGCCACCATTGAGGACATTGCCAACCACTGGTGGGTGAACTGGGGCTACAAGAGTAGCGTCTGTGACTGCGATGCCCTTTGTGACTCTGAGTCCCCACTCTTGGCACGGATCATCGACTGGCATCACCGTTCCACGGGGCTGCAGGCTGAGGCTGAAGCCAAAATTAAGGGTCTGACCAAACCTGGGGCCTCTGAGGTCATGCTGGAGCGGCAGAGGTCACTGAAGAAGTCCAAGAAAGAGAATGACTTTGCCCAGTCCGGCCAGGACTCAGTGCCTGAAAGCCTATCCAAGTTGAATTCCAAGAGGCCCAAAGGCATCCTGAAGAAACGAAGCAACAGTGAGCATCGCTCTCACAGCACAGGCTTCATTGAAGGTGTCGTGAGTCCTGCCTTACCATCTCCTTTCAAGATGGAGCAGGACCTGTGCCGGACTGGTGTGCCCCTCCCCAGCTCCCCCGAGGCAGATGTGCCGGGGAAACTCAGCCCCAAGCAGTCAGCCACTTTGCCCAAGAAGGGCATCTTGAAAAAGACCCAGCAGAGAGAATCAGGTTACTACTCATCGCCAGAGCGCAGCGAGTCCTCAGAGCTGCTGGACAGTAATGACATGATAGGCAGTGGTCTCCCTTCCCCTAATCCCCCGGACCCAACCAGGGTGACTTCCCACAGCCTGTCCTGCCGGAGGAAGGGCATATTGAAACACAGCAGCAAGTACTCGGCAAATGCCAGGGACCCGGCCCTTGCCAGCCCCGATATGCCCACACTGGAATCCTTGTCAACACCTGGCATCCCTGCTGAGGGGCTCTCCCGGAGCTACAGCCGTCCCTCCAGCGTCATCAGCGATGACAGTGTCCTGTCCAACGACTCCTTCGACTTGTTAGATTTGCAGGAGAATCGCCCCGCTCGCCAACGCATCCGCAGCTGTGTCTCTGCTGAAAATTTCCTTCAGCTCCAGGACTTTGAGGCACTTCACAACCGTCCCCGGGCCCAGTACCTGAAGCGGTACCGGAATCGGCTGGCAGACAGCAGCTTCTCCCTCCTCACAGACATGGATGATGTGACTCAGGTCTATAAGAAAGCTCTGGAGATCTGCAGCAAACTCAACTAGCCCTCCAGGGCTCGGGGGATGGGACGGGTGGGTGCAAGGGAGGAAGGGGAGCAGGACTTGTACTAACAGGCTGGTTACCACTGTGCTGGCCATGACGACAGACTGAAAAAAGACTGGCGCCATCTGGCTTGGCCAGGTTTGCAGCCTTGAACCAGCACCTAAAAAGGAAAAAACAGCTCTCTGCCAATTCTGCCAACTGCCAGTCAGAATATGTGTCCTAATTGGCATTTGCATATGGCACCTTGTAGAGGACAAGCTGTCTAGAGAATGTGGTGTTGGCCAGCACTTAGTGGGAGGGGGTCACAAGGAGGAGGATGCATTTCCCTGGAAGTCATCCAAATACTTCTGGAGGAGGTATAAGAGACTGGGACCATCTACTTTGGATGAGCTCAAAGAGCTTGCTCATTTTCTCATGTTAGCAAGCTTGGCCTGACTGCTTGGGGCTGGCAAGATTTTAGCAATCTGAGCTTGAATTGGTGATCAGTTGATAATGTCTAGAGGATGTGCTGGTTTGAGCAGCCCAGGCACATCAGAGAATGCTGTGCTTGAGTAGTAATGGCTGCCATGGGAATGGGAGGGAAGGCAGTAGCAATCATGCTATGTAGTTGTCATCTTGGATCTGGCTAAGCCTGGGCATTAGGTTAAAGCATTCTGTGGAATCTGTGCTAACTCTTCCATGCCATTTGTTAATTTGCTACTTGATCTTGAGTGGAAGGCAGGGCTTTGGTTAGAGTTTAGGACATTCTCTAAACTGTTTTTTAAGGACACAGAGTCAGCCCATGGTAATTTTTTGGCTCCTTGCTGTCTGCCTCCTCTTTCCTGATGTCTGCCTTGCTCTTCAGCACAACCTCCTGAGGGTGGACAGGGAAACAAGATAGCACTGCGGGAGGCCAATACTATGATGTATGATAGAGCACAAGACCCTCTGTGGTCTTTGCACAGGTGAATGGAAGGTGATGCACACCAGCAAGGGGCAACTTGTCACTTTCTTTAATGTCTCAATATTAACTGGAATGCTGCCTCTTTGGTTCTCACCTGCATGAATGCTTTGGATGTGATACTGTCTGCAATCTCCAAGGGAGTACTGGCCCAACAGTTGGCCTTGTTCACTGACAGTGTTTTTACCCTCTGCAGAGTGTGGAATCCTCAGTGGTAGAGGAGTTTGTGTCTAGGGAGTTAGTGTGTAGGTGGGACAGTTAGATGAGGAAAGGAAAGTCAAACAGAAGGTGCTTTGTTCCCCAAATCTAAGTATTCTGTATCATGGTTTTGAACTTTGACTTGAACTCCTGGGCTTTGTGGGGAAAGCATGTTCCATCCCTTTAGAGGAACAAGGTGTTGAAAGAGCAGAGTAGATCAGGAAGAAGTTTAGAGGAGAGAAACATTTCCTTAGGAGTCATCCAGATGGCTCTGGAGGAGGTATAAGAGAAATGTGGCAGGACTCTTAACATTTTAAAAACTAGTTATATAATTTCTAAGTGCCCAGATTATAAGTGATTCCCACAATGGGCATCTTGAGAGTACTGGATTTGAAGTTAACGTCTGTGGGATGTCTTTGGATTCCACTGGCTTAGGCAAATCAAAATCTTTGTCTTGAGGTGGCCAACTTCTGATAACCCCTTAAAGAGACAGAAGGAAGGGTGTTGAGATATCTTTGGAGTAACCAGAATTCACCTTACAGCTAAGAACAGTAATTAGGATGACATTGTCCTTTCCTTAAGGAGACAGTTCTGTTTCTGCCCTTGCTACTAGCTCTGGTGTTTTTGGCTTGTGTATTCATTCCTTCAGGTTGAACTGAGCAGTGCATTATGGGAAGCTACTTGGTTTCCTTTCATTCAATTCCATGTCCTTCCTGAACTCCAATAGAGGCTAAAAGGGAAAAAAACTATAGATAGTAAATAGTTTTGGGGGTGTGTGGTGCATGGAGGGCAGTCTGCAGCCTCTGAGCTCTCCCATCTCCTTGCCTCTTATAAGCAGCCTTCTCTGAACAGCTCCTATCACACTACACTGCTGGCCTCTGAGCATGGCAGCTGACCTCATCCGTAGCTGTCATATGACTTAGGCATAACACTCATCTACTAATTGATGTGATTTTCCCATTTGCCAATTAATCACATCTGCTTAGTCTTTTCCATCATTCTAATCTTTAAGTTAAAATGACGTTATTCAGGATAACCATCCTACTCCTTTCTCCCTCCCCACAAACACTAGTATGCTCTCTTTTGTCAGTAAGCCCAGATCATGAATTGTGGCCAAAAAATGTCCTTCAGAAGCCGAGGCTGAGATGAGACCTGGTCTGTTGTGAGATCTGGTGGCCTTGGCACCTGCAGTTATGGGAGCTGTTTTCCTATCAGTTAGGGCTGGAGGGTGGATGGGCTGGTCTCTCAGGCCCTGCTCAGTTCTGGCATTCTGCTGACATGTCTGCTTCTAGACGTGATGACTGTCCTTTCAAGGAAAAATTTGGAATAGAGGGAAAAGCCCTTAAAAGTAGCTTCCCTACTGCTTCCTGATCAAGTCCCATCATCCCTACCAGCCAATCCCCAGCCAAAGAATTTATGCTTGACTCATTTCTATGGAATTCCAAGGGAGAGACACTTTGATAACCTGATCTCCTGGTCCTTTCCTTGCCTATGGGGCCCTTCCAGCTCTTAGTTTACACATCTGCCAAAGGGGTGGAATATTTCTTTTACAGGTAAATTTCAAGGCATGATCAGTTTTCAGGAAGTGCTTCAAGACCCCAGGCAAAATGGAAACGCTAATTACCCTCTGAATTTCCATCTTGTTAGCAGGTGCTCTTCCTCACCCAAATGACAGGGGGCACTTTGCATGGTGAAATTCAGTCGAGTTTTGCCCAGGCCTGCTGTCTTGAGTACAAATGTGAATGATCGACTGACTGCTTGTTGCCAAACTGGAAATGTTCTGTAGGGATTTACTGGCATGATATCATTCCTAGGAGAAAAAAAGAAAGAAACTTGACTGCACATTTTTTTTTTTTAAATCCGTGTTGTGACTTTTATTTAATTCCTATTTTTTTTTTTTGGTAATAAAAAGTTGACTTTTTAATTTGAATTTGTCTTTTTTTTATTTATTGGTCTGAAAGGCATTTCAAAGGTATTATAATAATATATTGGTGTAATTTAATTGGTGCAACATGCTTTATGGCTCCAGTCAAAATTGGTTTTTACTCATTTGATTGGTTTGAGAACAGCCTACAGGGATTAAAAAGCTGGATAACCACCCAAAGTGTTTGTTTTTCATTGGAAACTGATTTTTGTTTTGCTTTTTTGTTTCTGTTTTTATTTTTAAATTAAATAAATTGTAATGAACCGAACTGAACTGGCACCTTGCATCTTTATTTGAATTTTTTTTTTTCTTAGTCAAGTAAGTGACAGAATGGGGACAGGTAACAGAAAACTACCCAAGCTGGCCTAAGCACCAAGACAGCGTTTACTTAGTGTGCTCAGAGGGGAGATGAAGCTTGCAGTGCTTAAAAAGTGAAACCTCAAAGAACTGTGTGCTCTTTCTGCTTCTTACATACCACTTTCTTCTTCTTTTTGAATATCAAGTGATATCAAACTCTACACTAGTACCAAGCACTGAAGAATCATGCACTGCACCTCATACTGTTAGGAGATCCAGGCAAGAAAAGTCAGACTTTCCAAAGAAATTGCAATCATGCTCCTTTTCTGATCTACTGCCAGAATCTTAGATGCAGCATTGCCACATTTAGTCAAAACAACAATGGGATGCCTACGAAAATTCCAACTCCAGATAAAGAAAGGCTAATCTTGGCTGGCACAGTATCTCAAGTGGTAGAGCACTTGCCTAGCAAGCATGAGGCTCTGAGTTCAAACACCACTACCATCAAAGCCAAAACAAAACAAAAAGGATAATCTTTTAGTGTAACTATGCCCTATGCAGTATTTGTGTCATGTTTATACTAAAACAATTCAAATTTAACTGGTCATCCTGTATTTTATTTGGCAGCCTAATCTGGCGGGACTTAATTGATTGAATCAACCAGGTGTTGGGTATTATAAGGATTGGAAATGGATGCTTACATTGTGGCTTGATTAGACCATGTTGGTGCCTTTTGATTGAGTGCAGTGGAAAGAATCCCAGTTCTAGTCTGGACTTGGTGAGTGTTGCAGTCAATTTGCTATAACTCTTTGGGCCTTAGTTTTCTCAACTCTGTAATGGCTTTATTAATTGTTATCTTGCCTATCTCTAATGAGGCTGTGAAGGAAGATTGAGGGAGTTCCTATAAAGTTACCTTGAGTGGAAAACTCATTATGAATGGGAAATAATAGTCCTCACTTAATAGGATAATATTCATGGACTTTAAAAAATAGGACATTTATAGGCAATGCACCCAGCCTGCAGGCTTTTAATTTTTGCTCCAGTCCCTGCCATAATTGACAAATGGGCAATCATTTGTAGAGGAAGGGACAAAGGGGAAGTTCACTTAACATTGGGGGCCTTTGGAAATAACTAATTCTGCATCTAGATCCAGTTGACATGTTGCCATGTCAATTTGGTGGGGCTAATGGGCAGTGGTTACTTTAAAGAGGAAAACTGAGAGAACTAACATTTATTACATTTCTTTGTGATATTCATTACATCCTTATTTGATGGTAATTGGTAGAAATCCACTCAGAACTTAAGTACAAGATGAATTTATTGCTTTATGGAACTGTGAAGTCCAAGGGGTCTGTCTTAGGTACAGATGAATTCAGGGGTCCCAGGGAGATCATTTGGCCCTTTTTTTTTTTTTTTTTAATCATTCTTGCTGGCAGGATCTTTCTACATGTAGGAAGATAGCACCTGGCAGCAGCAGGGTTATGAGGTCCTTCTATTGTGTCATCCTAAGATCAGGAGGGTTCTCACTGTAGGTAACAATAAAGGACTGTGATTGGTTTTGCTTGAGTCTTTTGACTTCTGGTCCAGTCAGACTGTGGGTGGAGAGAACTGCTCTGATTGACCAGGCTGGATCATGTGCCTACTTTGTGGTGTACTTGGATGGTAGCTCCTTTTGAATCATACAGTGAGGGAGGGAAGATCTGCCAAAGGAAGGGATGCAGAGCAGACAAAAAGTAGCCTCAATGTCCTCATCTAGAGAATGGCATTAAATAATGCCAAACTTTTAGAGTTATTTTGAACTAAAGTACCTAACATAGTGCCTAGCACACAAGATTTATTTTGACAATCTCAGTGATGATAGCAGTCCTTATACTGTAGAGAGGAGATATATTTGTTAGGAAGATTTTGGCTGTAAAATCAGCTATAATATCAGAAAAAATCAGCTAAAATTGGCTTAAACAATACAGGTGCTTTTTAATTCACATACCTCGAATTCTAAAGGTAGGGTGGGCTTCATGGTTACACCTAATGGGATAAATGAGCAGAGTAATAAAGTTAAATAAAACCTTTCCATATAGTAATAAATACTCTAAGCTGTAATACATGCTCTCAGGGAACTGGATAAGATGCAGAGAAAGAGAAAAGAGGGATCACCTCCTGTAGAAAGAGTAGTCAGAGAAGGTGTCTCTAAGGAAGTGACCTTTGGTCCTAGATTGGAAGATAAGAACTAGCCATAGGGAGAGAATTCCAGGCAGAGGGAACAGCACATGCAAAGACCCAGAGGTCTTTAATACAGAGCATTTACAAGATTGATTTCTGTCCATTGGTATAGGACAACTGTGGTAGGGAGTGTGGTGTTTTGCTAAACATGTGTGGCCACATTTTAACATTGGCTGGCTGTGATCATTTATGACTTGTGTATGCTTAATTATAAATGACTGCTTCCTTCAACAGGTGGTCCCCAGACATGACACATGCTATGATGCTCAATTTTAAATGAAAATATGTTTCCACTGCAGAAATTCACTGCCAATTTATTGAAATTCACGGAAAGGATGTTTTTAATCTGCAAAATCATGCAAAGATTGAGGCAAGGAAATGGGACAGCAGTGATGCTATAGAAGACTGCAAAGTACAGATTAAGGTTTTCATGTCACTAGATCTGTCCCATGTGAGCACAACTGTGGTTCTAATAGGAAACTGTGTGAGAAACTGGCAATCAATTTTGTGTCAAAATTGTGACTATTATTTTCATCCTGATGAAAAATTGATGCTGCCCATTTCTACTCTACTTGACTGAGACTATCCATTGCATTGTGACCAGCTGACCCTGATCCACTGTCTCTGCTATCTTTTGTTTGTGAATTAGTCTGGATAGGCTATGCTATGCTAAAATAACAAGTAAATCCCAAAATGTCAGTATAGTAAATATTTATTCCTCCCACAAATCCAGTTCTCTTCTCATGCCACCTCCAGAGCCACCCAAAGAACCAAGCTTCTTGCATTGTACTGGCTGTACAAGTGAGGGAGGAGCACAAGGAAGAACCTGTGAAGATCAGGCCTGGATGTGGTGTGTATCCCTGGGGTCTACATCCATTGGCCAGATCTCAGTCTCTTGACTCCAACCTAACTTCATGGGTAGTCTTTGAGTCTATAATACTTAAAAAGCAGAAAATAAGGAATCAGATAAGCACTTAGCAATGTTTCTACCACAGCTTATTTTTGCCTGCCATGAGATGTTCTCAGTTAAAAGGAAAATAATCATTGATGATATTCACCAAGTGTTTATGGAGCAGCACATGATCTGCCTCCATCAAGCCTTTTAACACTCCTCATGTTTGCTTATCTCCATTTTTATAGATGAGGAAATAGTTTGGGAAAAGTGCAGTGACTCGCCCAAGTCACACAAAGTTGGATTCTAATAGGTGCTGGGCTGATTAACTCCCACGCTTAATTGCTCTGTTGGCCACCTGCGATAACCCTTCTGCAACTCAGACTCCCTGATCATAAGCCCTGGCCTGTCAACACCCCATTCATGTAAACAGCATCTTCTTTGCAGGACTGATAGAATCAAATAGGAAGACACTGGCTCAAGTCAATGCATTCTCTAAACAAATATGGAGAGAAGGGCAATCCCCTCTATAATTCCCTCTTGATGTCAAATTCTAGAAAATCTAGGCTGACAGATGGAATTAATGAAATGATTTAAGTTTCTTATGGCCTCTAGAGTGGAGTGGGATGCAAGAGTCCATCTTTCTCTATCCTGAGCATCTGTAGTTGCTCAGAACAGAGAGCACAGGAGGCCTTCTGTGGTAGGTGGCTGCTATTCAAAGATGTGCACCCCCCACCCCATCAGGGCTCCATGAGCTCTTTCCTGTGCTGCTAGGCCTCAGGAACTCTTGCTTCTGGAGGACAGAGAGCTCACAGCAACTACTTGGAGTCCCATGGAAAGCCAAGATGCCAGGCTGGGCTACATGGACCTGCCTTAACTAAACTGAGTTAAGTTGCAACAGTAACTTCCATCACACCACTTCATATTAGCACCAGAGCAGGTGTGTGTGTGTGTGTGTGTGACACAAACATAACTCCAAGTCAGACTTTCTGAGGAATACCTCACCATCAGGTGAAACAGGGGTTGGGGTTTAGTTTATTTTAGAAGTAGTTGGAGAAAAAGGCTCCAAAAAATAGCTAGCCTGAGAATGTTCTGCAAATTGGAATTTGTGAATCACTGAAGCTGAAAAACATCTGATTCAGCAGTGCCTAGGGCATTCCAGAAGCTCCAGCCATCAGGCTTTGGAAACCAGACAAAGCATGTGTGGAAAGCAGAAAGCCAGATGCAGACCTCAGAACCAGCCCTGCCAGTCTGCTCCAAAGAGGACCTGGT